CACTGCCACAGTCTTGTTCAAGGATAAGGGGTTGCTGCCAATGTTTCGCGCCAATGTTCCACTTCTTCGCCGCCGACAAACCTCAATCACAATGCAGGGGTCCGGAGAATGCCAATGCAAAGGTCCGTGGGCCCGTGGGCAACCTCAAGTGCACTGTCTGATCTGTCTTCAACTGCAAATGACGAAGCGGCCAGAAGTGGTAAGCATCAGCGGTAATTATCACAGCTGTCTTGTTCACGGGCACCACTACCACGAAGGATCCTCATGCAAATGAAGCAGCTCAGCATTCGCTTGTAATCTCACGATCCATCGACGATGCCTGAATCCTTCGTCGTCCAACCCCATGACATGTGATAAACCCTGGTTCTATACTTGCGCCATGATTTCATTTGTTGTTCGAGGGTTCGAAGTTCATACTGGGTATCTGTATCGCGTTTAGATATCTGGGTACTGGCTTTAAGATTTCTGCAGCAATAGGCCTAGCTTTTTAGACCCGAGACATTTATGCCTTATAAACTGTCAGCACCCAAACATTGCAGGAGCGCATGGCCTGTCCCTACTACCAGGCCTTCTGGCTAATCCAGCTTCAGGGTGTTGAATCAGGACATACCTTGTTTAAGCTTTGCATGAACTAACCTGGCTTATGCACGGTTTAAGATTTCCTATGTTGGTTTTATAATGTTGGGCGCTGGAGTTGCTATGGATTTGGCGCCAAGTGGCAAGAGCACTTGATGTCCACGTGTTTTTCTGCAGGGTATGCTTTGAGACGGCCGTGGTTTGGACATTGCAAGGATTGGATGCGAGCTTGCTTTGCAATCAGAGCTGGGCATCAATACACCAGACTGTTGTGTTCGAGAGGAAGGGAACTGCCCAAACCTGCACATCGGGTGCTAGACTGGGGTTGGCTAAGCCTTTGAGCGGTTCGTCTAGAACACAGCCATGCACTAAGGTAGCTTCGGCAAATAGCCTAAAATTAACCACTTACTGTAGCCTCAGACATCGTGGCTGCAGCTAGGTTGAGGCTTTGACTTTTGGCACCTGCAGACTTCTGAAACCCAGAGCACGTTCTTCGAGCCAGCTAAATCCCTTGGGCTCCCAAAACCCCAAAGTAGGTACTATTTACAGACTTTAGACCCCAAAGTAGGTTCTATTTGTATACTTGGAGCCCTAAAGAATCCTAAACCCAAAATTGTTGGCGGCCTGGGGCTTCGGGGGCTCCATTCGCTCCAAGTTCGGGATCGGAACCCAGAGACTCCAATACCCCTTAATTAAGGAATATACCTTAAATCATATTAAGGATCCTACTATAATTTAAGGAATTTTCCTTAATTAAGGAATATTGGAGTCTCTGAGAATCATAGCAGCTGCCAAGACCAGCGGGTGCTTCCTGGACCAGCTGGAGAAAGTCTGCGAAGGCACTGTTTAGACTGCTTGGAGGTTCATGGGACTTAATACGTGCGGTTATAAGTACCCTAATTGGGGGTTATAAGTACAGTATAGTAGAGTTACTTTATTTACGGTTATAAGTACCCTAATTGGGGGTTATAAGTATAGTATAGTATAGTTTCCTTATTTATAACCCTAATTACTAATTCCCGTGAGCCTTTAAATTTATAAGGCAGCCTCGCTGGAGACTGTTGTGGATGCTCCTGGTAGTTACCCATAGGCCCCATAGCAGTTCCCTTTCGTGGCTGATATTTAGGATCCTATTAGGGAGCCCTATAAAGGAACTACTACGGGACCTATGGGTATCCTCTTCCAGTCCTCCCCCCTATGAACGGACTCGCGTGGAAGCTCCCTTCCAAAGTATTCCAAAGTCCTGTGCACTTGCAATAAATTACAGGTATAAGCGCCCCAAACACCAAAACCCTCAACCCCAATGGTTCCTATAGGCATTGTAGACTCGCTGTGTCACGCCGACTTCTGCACCTATGAATCCTCGCCTGGCTTGTCCGAGTTGTGAGAGTGTAACGGGTCTCCAGGCGAAGGAGAGGACATGCTGGCCCCGGCGGCAGAAGAGTGCCTGAGCTGTTCCAGTCTAATGTAGGGGTCTAAATAATTACCAACACCGTTTTTTGGGACTCCTTCATTACAATTTTAGAAAAATGGGCCCCAGAACCTTATTCGAATTATGAAGGCCCCAATCTTGCATCCCATTAGCTTACTTAGCTTACCGGGACGTTTCAGTGCAACTCAGTATGCTGAATGCTTAAGATGGCAGTGGTTTTTTCGAGGGAAGGAAGATGGAGTGGTTCAGAGCTTGACGCTTTGCCTGTCCCAAGTCAGGGATCGTTGTTTGCGGTAGACTTGTCAGTTTTGCAGAGCAACCTGTGCAGCAACTTGTCATCACATGAGTTTAGTCTTTGTCCTGGAGAGTTGACTGCGACCTGCGATTGCGCAGCAGATGCATTTCAAAGTCTTCAGCAAACTGTTGCATGTGGGGGTTTCTGAAAATAGGGGACCCTAATATATAGTACCCTAAATAACAGGATCCTTAATATAAGGACCCCAAAATAAGGTACCCCGTATTTTCGGAAACTCTCATGTTGCGCTGTGGTTTGGGACGGATGTTGCAAGTTCCAGCTTCCTGCGAGGAGCATTTGGATGTGCTGCTGCCCAACACCGTACATCCCATGCTCCCCCAACGAGTCAGATCGAACGTGCCTGTCTGGCAACTTTGACGCAGCCTAGAGTTGGAGTGGTTCTCGAGCACATCTACTTGACCCATAAGAGCCTCGTTGTCTAGATGGTCCACGTACACCAACTGCAGAATTAAAGTATTTCGGCCCAGACAGATCTTCTTTGTGATGGGCTCGGTGTGACTTACACGT